CCACCTCCCTACTGACCATCACTGCGCTGTACCCACCTGACACACCCACCTCCCTACTGACCATCACTGCCTGTATGCACCTGACTCATACACACCTCCCTACTGACCATCACTGCCTGTATGCACCTGACTCATACACACCTTCCTACTGACCACCACCTCCTGGGAAAGCTAAGGTTGCTGCTGGAAGAGGTGTTAGTGGGCCAGTAGGGGGCGCTCACCCTACAGTGTGTGAGTCCTAATGCTGCAGTATAGTGACGGGAAAAGTACACTGTGGGGAAAAAAAGCACTGTCCCTCAGATGAGATGTAAATCTGGGGTCCTGACTCGCTGTGGTCATTAAAAATCCCAGGACGTTTTTCAAAAAGAGTATGGGTGTTACCCCATTGGCCTTAACCAATTATGTCCTCCTAATAATCCCCATCTCTGAACTGGCTCCATTACTTTGCTCTCCTCCCCACTGAGAGCTGGTGTGTGGGGAGAGTACTGGAGTACTCTGGGTGCCGTTGCATCATCCAGGTGGGGGTACACACTGGTGATGGTGGAAGGGAGTCCCTATTATCTGTAAAGCGCTTTGAGTGGAGTGTCCAGAAAAGCGCTATATAAGTGTAATGAATTACTATTGCTATTGATATAATGGCTGGAGCACAAGAGCACAAACTCTGAGAGTGGCTAGAAACAGACATGGAAGGAAGAGTCCTTCTGTGCTACTGTTATTAGTTTCCTGTGCTAGTAGTAGCAAAACTATTATTACTGTGAGAACATAAAAACCAGCAACTGCCAGTAACTTATTCCTTGAATAAAATTGAAATCCCACTCTAGTGTACTGGTGAAAGCCCGTGATTTGTGAGAAACAGGTAGAAATCACAATGGCACAAGATTTTCAACAAAGAACGGCTTTCCTAAAAACTGCACGGTTGGCGAAGTGAAAACAGCCTTGGTGCTCACAAATCTCTACCCTGTTGGCCATCGTCACTGCTCACAACACCCCCCGTCACAGAAACAGCCACCGAGTCTGAGCAGGAGAGGAAATGATCCTTCCTCAAAACAGTGCTATTGTGCAGCGGCACTGTATTTATAGCTCCAAAGCAAATTAACCTTTAAAAGAACCAAAACAAGTAAAAGGAAATGTTTTTCTTCTTTAAGAAAAAAAATTACGAGGCGTGCTTTGAATAACCAGCTCTGTTGGAACAACCTAAGTGGTGATTCTACGATTCTTGTTTTTTTTTTTAATGAAATCCTCACACATGGTTAGCCATGGCAAACCTGTGATGGAAAAAAGAGCTGATTTAGTGAACAGCCTTGGGGGTGGCTATTAATAACACCGTCATCAAAAAAAAGGACCTGGGAAACACAAGAACACAACAACAACAAAAACAACATGTGTGAGCAGGACAAAGTGTGCAGGGGGGGGCTTCTCTACACCTGTTTTCACCTGCCAGCCTGCAAAGCAAAAAGCAAAATAAAAAATCATGCACCCCTTTAAATATGATGGAACAGTCCAGTTATCCCACGACCTTTTCATGCCCTCTGACCTGTCTGTGTCAGGCCCTGCAAGAGCCGCAAAGCCAAGCCCCCGACAGACATGCCACGTTTTCGTTTTTTTTTTTAAAGAATCGGAATGGCCAATTCTGTTATACACCCTGCCCAACCTGCAGTCGTTAACTCTCTGAAGACCCCCTGCATTGCACACTGAGAACGAGCACCTGCAGACGCACACACGTGGCTCGCAACACCTGTCAGAGTGGTTCATCTTTCACCTCGTTAAAAGAACAATGACCTGGGACTAAATGAGCAACGCGTCTCTTGCTCATCAACGTGCTCTGCACCCGCCAAGTCACAGGAAGCGCTGTAATACGCAATCCTGGAAGATATGCCAGCTAGCATTTCCCTTTCCTCATTGGTGCTCTCCCAGTTAGGCACCCTGGGCCATATCTGGTGCCTTTACTTTACCAGTAGGGGGCCCCCTTTTGAGAACTGGTCCTAAATGGATAAACCTACTTTGGAAAGACCAGGATAGGCTCGAGTCATTTTGGAATCACTATTAGAGAGTAAAAACATATCCACGAGTTTGCACCTCTACTGAGCTGTGCAATGGAGGAACAGCTTCACAAATGCTCAGCACTGTCCACAGAACTAACAGATTGGGGATCAGTGCTGACCCATTCAAATGAATTGAGGGCAGCAATGTTTTAACACACAGAGCACAGCCAACCATAACTAAGACACCTTAACTGCCCTGCTGTAGTGGGAAATGTGCTGTTATCTGTCCAAATTCACCAAGTCAACTTAAAAAAGTGACAAGATTAAATGATTGGTGAGAAAGTCTGTTTCCATCCATTATGAGAAAGACTTTTATTTCCTGAACACATCCTGGAACCACAGACCACGAGACAAAATTTCACCCTGAACGGGACACCAGTCCACTGCAGGAAAAGGCAGGTTTGTGCCATTAAATATAAGATCACTTTATTGGCCATACACAATTACTTGCATTAGGAATGTGTCTTTTCGCATCCTCCAGCTTGCTCTCCATGAGACACACAGACAGGGAGAGAAGCTGGGGGTCAGAGCGCTGGGTCGGCCATTTATACGATGCCCCTGGAGCAGCTGGGGTTAAGGGCCTCGCTCAGGGGCCCAACAGAGTAGGATTCCTCTGCTGGTTGTGGGATACGAACTGGCAACCTTCCAGCCACAGGCGCAGATCCTCAGCCACAGAGCCCAAACAGGGCTTTACAGGGCGGGGGGCGGAGCCTTTATTATGACACAGAGACAGGCAGCCTTGAGAAGGAGAGGCTCTGGGGCAAAGGGGGGGGGGGCGGTACCTTGCAGGAGGAAGTAGTCCGCTGGGGTGCGTTTCAGGGCAGCTTTGGCCTTCTCACTCGTCCAGTCAACTTCCAGGGCTTCCTTCAGGGAGCAGAAGCTGGCCGTCTGTCCGAGAAGCAGAGAAGGGGGATGGTTTAATGGCCACTGCCCACGCATGCCATGAGACAGCTCTGCTTTCACACTTTAGCAAAAAGATTTTTATTTTTGACTGGGATATTATAATTCCTTCGTGATGGAGTTGCATTTTGGATTATCCTTTAGTTTAAAGAGTTTTGTAAGGTTACAATAAATGTGCGTGCATCTTATTCTTTCAAATAATTCGAACTATCCAAACAAAAACAGGATCCTGTAAAAAGGAAGAAATGCATTGTTGCCTCAAGAGTGAGACTTTATGTACGTTTTACTTTTTATTTCTTCAGAAAATCATTGAAATTCTTTCATGTTTAAAACCCGTATCATTCTCTTAAAAAAGTGGCCCAAGAACACTTTGGAAAAACACATCGGAACAGCACAAAAAAGCAAACAGAACACAGGAGGCCAAAAAATCTCATCTGGCTTCTAAACTTACTGTGTGCTATCATTCAACATTGCCGACATTTACCGTGGAAAAGCTGTATGATAAAAACCACACGACATTCATGCGTTACAGTTTTCACCAGACCTCAATATTTGATGTGCAATCTTATTTTCATCCCAAATGAATTAACCTATAGTATAGAGAAAAGAGGGCACAAAGGGAAACTGCACTGCACTCAATTGAAGGGAGTAAAGGAGGTACATGAGAAAATGAGGCACCTCTTTACTCAAAGGGTTGTAGGAGTATGGAGCAAGCTACCCAGCCATGTTGTTGAAGTCCACACCCTGGCTACCGTCACGTCATGGCTGAATGAGGCCGTTGGATCAATTAACTGGGCGAAATGGCGACTTGTTTGTAACCATTCTGATGTTTTTAATGCTACAGAAGATACTAAAATATCACCTAGGAAAAGACAGTAGAAAAGAACGACGATGACAGCTTACCTTCTTAACCATGGCTGTCTTGCTGGGGTCAATCTTTGGCTTTTTGGCCTCGGGCCCATCGTCAACCTCTTCTGCAGGTTTGACCACCTTTGGCTTCTCTCTGAAAAAGGCAAAGCAAAGGAGCTCACCACCTGCGCTACAGCTCCGCTCCATGGGGCACTTGAAAATAAAAACAACGGGATGGCGACACTCACTCCACATAGTGGTGCTCGGGCCCCAGGTTGGAGAACATGTAGCCGTGGTACCCGAACACGTCCCCGCTGAAGAACTTGACGTTGTTCTTGGTGCAGATCTGGTCCACTCTCACCAGGAGGTCACGGGGGCAGCAGGTCAGGCACACCTGGGAGGAGGAGAGGACAGGGGGTTCAGACACAGCTCCGGTGCAACCGGACACGGCTGAGGTCCCTGTCCAGCGGTCGGAGCACAGGAGAGAGCACTTACTGCCACACCGTTTTCAGGTTCAAACCCCCAGCTCTGCCACCGGCACGGCACTCTGAGCAAGTGATAATATAAACCTTCACAGTTATGTAGCGCTTCTCTGGACACTCCACTCAGAGCGCTCTAGAGGTAATAGGGATCCCCTCCATCACCACCAGTGTGTACCCCCACCTGGATGATGTGACAGCAGCCATAGTGCGCCAGTACTCTCCCCACACACCAGCTCTCAGTGGGAGGAGAACAGAGTGATGAAGACAGTTCAGAGATGGGGATTAAAAGGAGGCCATGACTGGTAAAACCCAAGGGGGGAAATTTGGGCAGGACACTGGGGTAACACCCCTACACTTCTCAAGAAATGCTCTGGGATTTTTGATGAGGAGTCAGGACCTCCATTTGACATCTTAACTGAAGGACAATGCCTTTTCGACAGTACAGTGTCCCCATCACTATATTAGGGCATTAGGACCCACACAGACCACAGGGTGAGCGCCCCTTGCTGGTCCCACTAACACCTCTTCCAGCAGCAACCTTAGCTTTCCCAGGAGTCTCCCCTCCAGGTCCCGGACAGGCTCATGCCTACTGAGCTTCAGTGGGCTGCTGTGATGTGAGCTGCTATTAACTACCAAATGGGCTAGACGACCCAAATAGCCTCCTCTCGTTTGTCATGTTTCTTACCCTCTTGATTTGTGTAATTTACTGTGAATATAAGTGGCTGGTAAATATTAAGTTCTGTTTTCGTCATGAAACATGAAGGTCAACATCACAGACCAGCTGCACTCATTGCTTTTAAGGTGAATAAACTACAGGATCCAGTCATTATGAAATTTCCCTATCACTGTCTGCAATTCTCCAGCTATTACCAGTGCTTCAAACACTCCTCAACTGCCTCCGTCTTCCCCTGAACGATGTGGAAGACCTACAGTGCTTGAGTCTCCTCCTTCTTATGCTCAGTGCTGTATGCCAATAAGGCGTCGCACAGTTCAGCAGGGCTCTACATGTGTGTGAGTGCCAGTTACTGTTTGCAAGAAACATGATGTCATTTCACTGCTCTGTAAACAACCTGATGAAATGGAGGGGAAAAAAACATATTTTTCTTTGCAATGAAACGCTTTTGTTTGTTTTTAGATTTGCCCTTTTCTCCTAGATAACGTTTATCAAGGCGCTGACCAAGGGAGAGAGTGCACACTATCACCCACAGCACTCCCCAACCCCAGCGGGGGTCCGGGTGGGGGTGAGGTCTCAACTCCCTCGGTGTGCGCACAGATAAAGCGTGGGCCTTGCGGGGGGGTGAGGGGTGCACATCACACCCCATTTCTTATCCCTCTGGCGTGAGGTGCGTTTGGGCGTCAGTACAGAGTGTACAGAGAGAAATTAGCCCAGGGTGCCACCCAATCTCCAGGGACATATGCAAGTAGGCAGAGAGGGTGCTTGCTTTAGTTTTTAATTTGCTGTTCTGTGCACTTTAAGACACAGAAATGCTGCTGTTGTTTCTGAAACGTGCAGGGGAAATGTGTTCCTTATTCCCTCATTCATGGATGTGACTTGTTTTCTCAGATCCCTGCTTCCGTTGGTAAAATACTCAGAGATGCTTTTGTTCCTAAACTGGAGCTCTGAATTACAGAGCCTTTCCAATTAAAGAGATACTTGTGACGACAGGTGAATACTTGTGGAAACAAGTGAGGCTCAACAGCACATTGCAAAACTGTCCACAGGGAAGAAGAATGTTTGGTTTTTCTTTCAGCGTAGGTTTGACTTGAGAAAAGGGCACTGAGTGGATTTTGCACAGACTGGTCACCCTGCCTTGGTCTGAGCCAGCAGCCAGACTGGTACAGTCGGATACATGGAAATGTTCCCTTTGAATGGAAGCACATGTCGGGACACGTCCCTACCACCCACGGCGACAGGGAACTTTTTTTTTTTCACAGCTCAGACGCATGAACACAAAAGAGAAAAGACAAGCCCCAAGGATAACAGGATGAAGAAGAGAGCCAGAGAGAGTGAGGATGGAACACTGTGTGGCTAAAAATACAGGTGCATTATTAACGGCACTGTCCATGACAGTGCTGTTCTTCCACTACAGGACAATAAAGAACTGCTTTGTCACAGATCGGGCACAATAAGCGCAACATACAATTAGCCAGTTTGTCACGGTACAAAGACATCGCTGAAATACCGCGCATGAGGCATGCTGGCACTGTGCGTGGCACAGGCGCATGGTGGTTAAGACGGGCATCTCACCGCTACAGGGTCTTGGGCTCAGTTCCTGCTTGTTATATGCGAACCACAACCCATACTAGCACCCATACACATGCAAAGCCCTGTCATTCTGTGTGCTGCTTGTCTGCATGAAGCCTGCATATCACCCTGCAACTCACAACTGGCATCCTGCTGCAGCTCAGCAGGTGTGAGCCTGGCCAGCATCTGGATGGGAGACGCCTGGGAAAGCTGAGGTTGCTGCTGGAAGAGGTGTTTGTGGGGCCAGTAGGGGGCGCTCACCCTGCAGTCTGTGTGGGTCCTAATGCCCCAGTATAGTGATGGGGACACTATACTGTAAAAAGGCACCGTCCAGGTGGGTGCTGCACATATGGCTGCTGTTGATGTTCTTTCCATATCTGCATGGGATTGCTCCCGTTTCTCTTAGCCCCCCCATATACATGCAGATCGTATACAATTAGCTATACAGACGTTTAATGTTATTAAGAAGAGACAATTCCCATTCCGAACGGCTGCCTTATTTCTTTTAGTGTTTGGGCCATTCAGGGTTAACCCGAATGACTGACATACTGCCATCGTTTCTGAACACACAACATTCAACAGAAAACGGCACAACAGATCAGAGAATAGGTCCCAAGTTTCCTCTTGGCTGCAGGAGACAGGCTTACAGGAACCACATGGCAGAGACTGCAGGAGAGGAAGGAAACACGCGGTTCATTTCTAAACAAAAAGGATCCGTTTGTCACTGGAGATGCTCTTATGTGGACAGTCAGGGGGGCAGAGAGAGCATTCACACCTCTAGTGCGTAGGTGTGTCACAAGACCAGGCAGACAGACCTGACCTACGCCAGGACAGCTCAAGCTGACACACGGAAGTATAATAGGGAGGATCCCCATTCATCCGGGGGGGCCTGGATGACTAACTGGAAGTGTCTGGAAACCTGAACCAGGAGATCTTCGAGTGGGAAAACCGCAGTCCTTCCTCCCCTTTTCACCGCC